AGATGGGGGTGATGAGGCTGATTGGCCGGCACAGGAACATCATCAACCTGCTGGGCGTCTGCACCCAGGAAGGTGGGCCGGTGGCGGGCGCGGGCAGCCGGGGACTGGAGCCGAGCCCCGCAGCTCCCGCCCCTGCTCTGCCCGCAGGGCCCCTGTACGTGATCGTGGAGTGTGCCGCCCAGGGGAACCTGCGGGAGTTCCTCCGCGCCCGGCGCCCGGGCCCCGACAGCCTGGACGGGCCGCGGAGCAGCGAGGGGCCACTGTCCTTCCCGGCCCTGGTATCCTGTGCCTACCAGGTGGCCCGAGGCATGCAGTACCTGGAGTCGCGGAAGGTGGGGACGCTGCCCCTGACCCTGACCGGCCCTCCAGGCCTGTGTGCTCGGGCCTGTAGTCTTAAGTGTCCCCAACTTACCCCTCTCCCATTTTCCATTACCCTGAGTGTCCCCGAGCCCTGCATAGCCTGTGGCCCTGTCACAGAGGCTGGCCCCGTGGGCCCCCACCCGTTCCTCACATGGTCCCTAGCTCGGACAGGGCAGGGGGAGCAGTGAGACAGGAGGTGGGGGTGGGCCCTGAGTTAGACCCTTCTCGGCTTCCTCGTCTGTAAAATGGGCTCACTGCGAGGCGGTGTGCAGGGCTCCCATGGGTCCTGCCTCGTCGCCTCCCCACCCTGTCCTGCCCCAGTGCATCCACCGAGACCTGGCTGCCCGCAATGTGCTGGTGACCGAGGACAGCGTGATGAAGATCGCCGACTTCGGGCTGGCCCGCGGCGTGCACCACATCGACTACTACAAGAAAACCAGCAACGTAGGGCGGAGAGCCGGGTGGGACGGGGCGGGCAGGGCCAGGGGGCTGTGCCAACCCCGCCTCTGCCCCCAGGGCCGCCTGCCTGTCAAGTGGATGGCTCCCGAGGCCTTGTTCGACCGGGTCTACACACACCAGAGCGACGTGTGAGTCTTGGCAGCTGGCGGTCCGGCATCTGTCAGCGGTCGTTGTCCGCAGAGAGGGCAGGCAGCAGCTCAGGGTCACACAGCCCTACTGCTTCTGGGGCTCCCCAGCCAGGCCTGGGGCCTGAGTGGGACCAGGCTCCCAAAGGAGCCTAGTTCCCCCGCCCTGTGGCCATGCCTGCAGGGTCACCCTCCCAGCCCCTGGAGTGGGAGGGGCTGACCCTGCTGAGCTGCTTCTACCTCCAGGTGGTCATTCGGGGTCCTGCTCTGGGAGATCTTCACCCTCGGGGGCTCCCCGTACCCCGGTGTCCCGGTGGAGGAGCTGTTTGCGCTACTCCGGGAAGGCCATCGCATGGACCGGCCCCCGCAATGCCCCCCAGAACTGTGAGCCTCCACTCTCCCCGCTCCCCCGGCCTCATCCTCTGCCTTGGCCTTGGCCTCCTGGTGTGCCCTGGCCCTGAGAGTAGCACTGACCTCCCCCGGCCCAGCAGGGCATCCTGGCCTGGCTTCCAGGCCCTAGCATTTCCCTTGTCCAAACCCTCACTCAGGCCCGTGAGGTCCTTCCTGGGGACCCTCAGTCCTCCCTCCACCCCCCACCTCACTCAGGCCCGTGAGGTCCTTCCTGGGTCCCCGCAGTCCTCCCTCCACCCCGACTCTGGCCCACCTCTCTCAGGTACGGGCTGATGCGCGAGTGCTGGCACGCGGCCCCCTCACAGAGGCCCACCTTCAAGCAGCTGGTGGAAGCGCTGGACAAGGTCCTGCTGGCCGTCTCCGAGGAGGTGGGCCACCCTGCCGCCAGGCCCCTCTCGCCCCCCGCCGTGGGCGTGCGCACCCTGTCCCCAGTGGCTGTGGGGCTGACCAGCTCTGCTCCCTGCAGTACCTCGACCTCCGCCTGACGTTTGGCCCCTACTCCCCTGCCGGGGGGGACGCCGGCAGCACCTGCTCCTCAAGTGACTCTGTCTTCAGCCACGACCCCCTGCCACTGGGGCCCAGCTCCTTCCTCTTCCCCGAGGTGCAGACGTGAGCAGGGACACACGATTGCACAGGCAAGTAGGCCAGTGGCCTCGGGCCTCCTGGCTCGGCCACAGCCTGTGCAGTACGTGGCCTGGGCGGTCCTGGGGTTCCTCATTACGCTTCCTCCTCTAGTCTCTCATTCCCCACCCGGAGTTCAGCCCAGTCTTCAAGGCCCTGCTCGGCCCTGGGCGTCACGGTGCCAGGGGCCCAGTGCCTACGTGTTAGGTTCTGCTCGGCCTGCTGGGCCATGGCACCCCCCTGTCTTGGGTTTAGCTGGACCTGGCTGCAGACCTGCTGTCTTCCCTACAGCACTGAGCGGTTCTGGACCACCCCGGCTCCTGCTGTTTGTCCCAGTATCTTGGTAAAGGGATATTGGCCCCTGTGCCCCTGAGAGGCCGGAAGCATGCCGAAAACACAGAAGCAAACAGCATTTTATAAATTATTTTTTGAAATAAACCCTGTGTGTCTGGTGAGGGGCAGGGAGGAGGAGTGGGTGGAGGGATCCTCCCAGCAGGGATTGTGCTGGGTGACAGACAGGGCTCTGCCAGGCTTCGGGTTCGCATCCTCCCCCAACTGCGCTGGGCAGACCCAGCAGCCTGTGTGGCCTCTGTCTTGGTCCGTCTGTCCTGCAGGCACCATCTCATACATGTGATGGTGCGAACAAGTGTTAGCGCCATCTGCAGGGCGGGCTCCCATACCCTCTGCACATGCGTGTGCTTGCACACGTGCCCTGCAGCTGTCCCCAGGGGAGCTGGCAGCCCCTCCCCCATCTGCTCAGCATTAACCAAGCTGACCGTTAACACAGCATGAAAACCTGAAACCCAGCCTTGCCCGCTGCCTGCTCCCACGCCCTGCCCCTCACGCTGGGGGCTCACTTGAGGGGGCTGTGCCCGCCCCGCCCTACCCTGGCCAGTCTCCCGGGCAGCAGCTGGTTGCCGCCTGGCTGGGCTGCAGCTGTCCCTGCCTGCCTGGGCCTCCACTGGGGAGGCCGTCACGGCCCTGTTCTCAGGCCTTGCAGAGGGATCAGCTTCCTGCGGCTCTGAGCCTGGAACCTTCGCTGGCTCCATCCTGGCAGTCATACTGCTCCCTAGCCCCAGTGCTTGGTGCTCTCCTGCCCTGTCCCTGGAGGCCCTGGCCTGGGACAGCTGCACAGCCAGAATACCCTTAGGGGGATTCCTGGGTTGCCCCTTGGTGTTCCAGGCGGAGTTGTGGCTGAAAATGCGCATGGGGTCAGCAGGGTTAGATGTAAGAACTTGAGACTGGGGTACTGAACAGTGACACAGCCATAGAGCATGACCCTCTGCAAGGCTGGCCCCATGGGAGGTTCACATCTGGAAAGTTCCCTGGGTACACGAGCCAGCGTGCCCACCAGCAGGGCCCGCTGAGGCTGGCGTGGGCCGCAGCACCAGGACCAGCCCTGGTCAGGGGTGTCTGTCTGTCTGTTTGTCTTTCTCACTCATGGCAGAATTAAACTTAAAAAAAAAGATAAGGCGCTGGACTCCCACGTGGCCAACCATGGTTCAAGCCCTGGATCTGGTAGCTTGCTTTCTCACTTTCCCTCTCTCTCCATCTCTCTAGTCAAGTTAAAAAACAATAATAAATTAAATAATGATTTAAAAAAAAAAAAAAAGAATTCAAGGGGCCAAAAGGTGGCGTGGAGGTTAAGGCACTAGATCTCATATGGGCAACTTTGCCATTCGAGTCTCAGACCTGGTAGCTTGAAAATTACACCGGGTGTGTGGGGACTGGCAGATGGCATGGTGGTTAGAGCTGCTGGCCTCCCACATGGACGACTGCGGTTTACGTCGACCTGGTGGCTTGCTTTCTCTCTCTGTCCCTCTCTCTGGTCAAATTTTTTAAAAAAGTAAATAAATGAATAAAGTTAAATAATTCTAAAAGGAAGAAAATCACCCCGGGCGTGTGTGCATGCATGTCCAAAATCCCAAGAGGAGCATGGAAGAGAAGGGCCTGAGCATGGCCACCCCCTCGGGGAGCAACTTCTTGCTTGCTTGCTTTCGTCTTTGGTGAGCCCACACATTCTATAATAAAAACTTTAAAAACAAGAAAAGAATTTGCGCCTGGGTCCTCAACCTGGGGCTGCCCACGAGGCTGAGCAGAGACTCCCTTCCCTGGGTCTCCTCGCACCCCCACGCTCCCTGTGTGGCTCCCCATGTCCCCGAACACACTTGTCCCCATGTCCCCAGTACTGCACCCCCACAGGGCAGAGACCAGGGACTGACCCCAGCCGCTGTCTTGCCCTCCAGAACCTTATCCCAGATGGGGATGGAAGGGCTGGACTTGGCACATGGTGACAAGTCCTGCTCCTCCAGTCTGGCTGTGGTCCCTGAGGCTGGCGCTGGCACTTCTCAGGCTCCCTTCCTCCCTTGTGAGTGGGTGTTCCTGCCTTGCCTCCCCCCAGCCCTTGAGGTCCAGGAGGAAAGGAGACCTTGACGTCTCTGCAGGGTTGGTGCCACTCGGGTGCCTGTGGGCTGCGCTGTAGGCTCCTCTGCTCACTGGGGACACACTGGCACACGTCGGGTCCCCCGACCAGTCCACGGTCTCCCCCACTCCCGTTCTGCTGCAGGCGGCACCAGACAGCTTCCAAGAGCAGCTCTTGGCTTTACTGCTCTTCCCTCTACCCGAACACCCCCACAGGCTCCGCGCAGTGCCCACACTTTCTGACCGAGTACCCCAAACCTCGACTCCCATTGCACAGTGACTGTCCTTTACCAGTCAGTCAATCACAGGAGAGGGGCTCCCGCAGGCATTGCCTGGGAAGGAGGTTGGAGGTTAGAATAGGGTGTAAGGGGCCAGCAAGTGGCATAGTGAGTAAGATGCTGGACTCTCAAGTGGTGGACCACAGTTCAAGTGCTGGACCTGGTGGCTTAAAACTCATGCCAGGTGTGTGTGCATGCATGCCCAAAATCCCAAGAGGAGAATGGAGAAGGGATTGCAACGGGATCATCCCCCTGGGGGATGATTTCTCTCTTTCTGTCTCTCTGATGAGCACACACAGCCTACAGTAAAAAAATCTCTAAAAAAAGTAGTAAGGCCTAAGGTCCGGGCACCCCCCCCCCCCCCGCCGTGGGCGTGCGCACCCTGTCCCCAGTGGCTGTGGGGCTGACCAGCTCTGCTCCCTGCAGTACCTCGACCTCCGCCTGACGTTTGGCCCCTACTCCCCTGCCGGGGGGGACGCCGGCAGCACCTGCTCCTCAAGTGACTCTGTCTTCAGCCACGACCCCCTGCCACTGGGGCCCAGCTCCTTCCTCTTCCCCGAGGTGCAGACGTGAGCAGGGACACACGATTGCACAGGCAAGTAGGCCAGTGGCCTCGGGCCTCCTGGCTCGGCCACAGCCTGTGCAGTACGTGGCCTGGGCGGTCCTGGGGTTCCTCATTACGCTTCCTCCTCTAGTCTCTCATTCCCCACCCGGAGTTCAGCCCAGTCTTCAAGGCCCTGCTCGGCCCTGGGCGTCACGGTGCCAGGGGCCCAGTGCCTACGTGTTAGGTTCTGCTCGGCCTGCTGGGCCATGGCACCCCCCTGTCTTGGGTTTAGCTGGACCTGGCTGCAGACCTGCTGTCTTCCCTACAGCACTGAGCGGTTCTGGACCACCCCGGCTCCTGCTGTTTGTCCCAGTATCTTGGTAAAGGGATATTGGCCCCTGTGCCCCTGAGAGGCCGGAAGCATGCCGAAAACACAGAAGCAAACAGCATTTTATAAATTATTTTTTGAAATAAACCCTGTGTGTCTGGTGAGGGGCAGGGAGGAGGAGTGGGTGGAGGGATCCTCCCAGCAGGGATTGTGCTGGGTGACAGACAGGGCTCTGCCAGGCTTCGGGTTCGCATCCTCCCCCAACTGCGCTGGGCAGACCCAGCAGCCTGTGTGGCCTCTGTCTTGGTCCGTCTGTCCTGCAGGCACCATCTCATACATGTGATGGTGCGAACAAGTGTTAGCGCCATCTGCAGGGCGGGCTCCCATACCCTCTGCACATGCGTGTGCTTGCACACGTGCCCTGCAGCTGTCCCCAGGGGAGCTGGCAGCCCCTCCCCCATCTGCTCAGCATTAACCAAGCTGACCGTTAACACAGCATGAAAACCTGAAACCCAGCCTTGCCCGCTGCCTGCTCCCACGCCCTGCCCCTCACGCTGGGGGCTCACTTGAGGGGGCTGTGCCCGCCCCGCCCTACCCTGGCCAGTCTCCCGGGCAGCAGCTGGTTGCCGCCTGGCTGGGCTGCAGCTGTCCCTGCCTGCCTGGGCCTCCACTGGGGAGGCCGTCACGGCCCTGTTCTCAGGCCTTGCAGAGGGATCAGCTTCCTGCGGCTCTGAGCCTGGAACCTTCGCTGGTTCCATCCTGGCAGTCATACTGCTCCCTAGCCCCAGTGCTTGGTGCTCTCCTGCCCTGTCCCTGGAGGCCCTGGCCTGGGACAGCTGCACAGCCAGAATACCCTTAGGGGGATTCCTGGGTTGCCCCTTGGTGTTCCAGGCGGAGTTGTGGCTGAAAATGCGCATGGGGTCAGCAGGGTTAGATGTAAGAACTTGAGACTGGGGTACTGAACAGTGACACAGCCATAGAGCATGACCCTCTGCAAGGCTGGCCCCATGGGAGGTTCACATCTGGAAAGTTCCCTGGGTACACGAGCCAGCGTGCCCACCAGGGCGCTGGACTCCCACGTGGCCAACCATGGTTCAAGCCCTGGATCTGGTAGCTTGCTTTCTCACTTTCCCTCTCTCTCCATCTCTCTAGTCAAGTTAAAAAACAATAATAAATTAAATAATGATTTAAAAAAAAAAAAAAGAATTCAAGGGGCCAAAAGGTGGCGTGGAGGTTAAGGCACTAGATCTCATATGGGCAACTTTGCCATTCGAGTCTCAGACCTGGTAGCTTGAAAATTACACCGGGTGTGTGGGGACTGGCAGATGGCATGGTGGTTAGAGCTGCTGGCCTCCCACATGGACGACTGCGGTTTACGTCGACCTGGTGGCTTGCTTTCTCTCTCTGTCCCTCTCTCTGGTCAAATTTTTTAAAAAAGTAAATAAATGAATAAAGTTAAATAATTCTAAAAGGAAGAAAATCACCCCGGGCGTGTGTGCATGCATGTCCAAAATCCCAAGAGGAGCATGGAAGAGAAGGGCCTGAGCATGGCCACCCCCTCGGGGAGCAACTTCTTGCTTGCTTGCTTTCGTCTTTGGTGAGCCCACACATTCTATAATAAAAACTTTAAAAACAAGAAAAGAATTTGCGCCTGGGTCCTCAACCTGGGGCTGCCCACGAGGCTGAGCAGAGACTCCCTTCCCTGGGTCTCCTCGCACCCCCACGCTCCCTGTGTGGCTCCCCATGTCCCCGAACACACTTGTCCCCATGTCCCCAGTACTGCACCCCCACAGGGCAGAGACCAGGGACTGACCCCAGCCGCTGTCTTGCCCTCCAGAACCTTATCCCAGATGGGGATGGAAGGGCTGGACTTGGCACATGGTGACAAGTCCTGCTCCTCCAGTCTGGCTGTGGTCCCTGAGGCTGGCGCTGGCACTTCTCAGGCTCCCTTCCTCCCTTGTGAGTGGGTGTTCCTGCCTTGCCTCCCCCCAGCCCTTGAGGTCCAGGAGGAAAGGAGACCTTGACGTCTCTGCAGGGTTGGTGCCACTCGGGTGCCTGTGGGCTGCGCTGTAGGCTCCTCTGCTCACTGGGGACACACTGGCACACGTCGGGTCCCCCGACCAGTCCACGGTCTCCCCCACTCCCGTTCTGCTGCAGGCGGCACCAGACAGCTTCCAAGAGCAGCTCTTGGCTTTACTGCTCTTCCCTCTACCCGAACACCCCCACAGGCTCCGCGCAGTGCCCACACTTTCTGACCGAGTACCCCAAACCTCGACTCCCATTGCACAGTGACTGTCCTTTACCAGTCAGTCAATCACAGGAGAGGGGCTCCCGCAGGCATTGCCTGGGAAGGAGGTTGGAGGTTAGAATAGGGTGTAAGGGGCCAGCAAGTGGCATAGTGAGTAAGATGCTGGACTCTCAAGTGGTGGACCACAGTTCAAGTGCTGGACCTGGTGGCTTAAAACTCATGCCAGGTGTGTGTGCATGCATGCCCAAAATCCCAAGAGGAGAATGGAGAAGGGATTGCAACGGGATCATCCCCCTGGGGGATGATTTCTCTCTTTCTGTCTCTCTGATGAGCACACACAGCCTACAGTAAAAAAATCTCTAAAAAAAGTAGTAAGGCCTAAGGTCCGGGCACAGGGAGTGAGAGCCACTATTTTGCACTCTCCTGGCACAAGCCCCCCACCGTGCCGGGCCTAGCCACCACTGCTCTTCCTCAGGGTAAAGAGCATTCTTCCCATTTAATGGCAGAGAAACCGGGATGTGACAGACCCAGGGCCACAAGAATGGGGCTCCAGGAACGAGCTGGCTGACCTCCAGGTTCCCAGAATGCCCTGTGCACGTTGGAGACAAGCTGGGTCCCTCCGAGTGACAGGGGCAGCTGCTGCCTGGTAGATCCCGGGGCCGGGAGGAGCTCAGCTGCCCACCCTGCTGGCGTCCCTGGCAGGCACTGGCTGGGGCCGTTCCACATTCCTAATGTCCTGTGTCACAAGACAGATGCTGCTGATTTCCCGATGCAGCCACTGCCGCTCCGTCGCCCTCCTGTCCCCAGCCTGCCCTAGGCGTCATGGCAGTCCCGGGACGAGGCTTCCTTGGTATGCCTGAGTTCTGAGTGGCTTCCCAGCCAGTGACAGAGACCCACAGAGAACGCCCGGCCTGCCCCCGGTTCCTGCCCCTTCCTGGCCTCGGTCAGGGCTCTGGTGGGAGCATCGCCAGAGAGCCCTCTGATGTAGGCTGCTGCAGCTGACGGACAGGAGGCAGCCTGCTGGGGGACGGCACCCGGGAGGCTGGCAGCCTATCAGAGGCCACCCTCTCTGAGTCTCTGTTCCCAGCGCATCGCACAGGAATGACGACACCGCCTCGGCAGGGCTGCGAGCTCGGTAAACAGCAGCTGTGCCCGCGGGGGCTCGGAGGGAGCGGCCTCCAGAGCGGGCTCTGTGGGCATGGCCGCCCTTCTAGGAACGCACTCGAGTCCCCATTTTCCAGATGAGGGCAGGGAGGCTCAGAGCAGGAAGGGACTGGCCCAGGGCCTGAGAAGGTAGGGCGTTGGCACTCAGGGCTGGTGCCCCGCCCCATTGCCGAGCTCCTAACCACCCGGCAGCCCCAGGACCGGGAGGGGTGCTGGGCGCATGGTCAGGGGCCCTGTCTGCAGCCCCCAAGCACAGGCATGTCAAGCTCAGTGCTCGGCTCCAGGGCGGCTGTTCCTTCCTGGGATCCTCTCCCACTTCTCCGGGGCCAAGCCCTACTCAGCCCTCCAGACCTCGCTCGCACCTCGCCCAGAGGCAGCCTCCTCAGGCCCTCTGTCCCACCCAGCTCCCAGGAGGTGCCCTGCACGCAGAGGGGCTCACAGCTGATGATGAAGTGGAGGGTGCCCCAATAGTCGCCCCCAAACTAATGATGTAATAGGGGTACCCTGCTAGTCACCACCCCCAGAGCTGACGATGGAATGGGGGTACTCCAATAGTCACTACCCCCACAGCTGACGATGGAATGAGGGGTGCCCCAGTAGTCCTCAGCCACTCTGGCCAGTCCAAGCCGGCAGCTCTGAGACTACAGCACACAGCAGGACTGCCCGGGCCCCCGGGCCACGCCCCAGAAGCTCACGCTCAGGAGATCCAGGTGCATCTGGGACTCGCCATTCTCGCCTAATCCCGGGGTGTCGCCCCCCCCCCCCCCCCCCCCCGCCACTCCTGGCTCTTCCCACACTCCCGGGACCCCGACGGGAGCCCCCCACCCTTCACCTGCTGGGGGATCTGGCCTAATCCTGGAGTATGCACACAGGCAGCTGCAGCTCTCTCAGGGGACGAGACTCCCCTCCGGAGGAAATTGGCTTTTTATTCTTTTGCTACCGAAATCTGACCTTCGTAGGCACCTGGGCCCCACGGCTGGAGCCTGTCCCCAAGAAGTGGGCAGGAGCGGCGTGAAATTGCTGACAGCTGAACTCACCAGCGTTCCCGCACCCTCCCTGTGGGCTGCTCACATTCCACAGCACCAGCCCTCTCTGTGCCCAAGTGCCAGCCTCGCCTCCCTGTGCCGGTACCGGGGCCCAGCCCAGCCGGCCGCTGCCCTCGCTGCCAGCCCAAGGAGGGCTGTGGCCATGGCTCCAACGGCCTCGGCAACCTCCCCACCACCTCGGGCTCTTCAGGACTCACTGGCCCCCAGCCCACCTCAGCACTCTGTCTCTGCCCGGGGAGTGACCTGTAGTCTCCCTGTTTCATCCAGGACACGGGCCTCTGAGAACCCAGGCCCAGTGCAGAGCAGGGTACCCTGAGGCTTCTCCACGGAACTGAACAGCTTGCAGGGGGATGATGGGGCCCCTTCCTTCAACTGTGGACGCCTCCAGGCTTCAAGCAGTCCTCTTTCCTGGGAGGCAGGAGACGAGGGTCCAGCTGGCAGGGCTGGACAGCGAGACCCATGTTGGACAACACAGCGTTGGAGCCTTTGGAAGGGCAGCGCTGGGTCCTGGTCACGTGACCCTTGCAGGGGATTGGTTGCATGTGTTGAGGACCTGGGCCGCACCACGAGCTCCTCCCCATGCGGGCCTGCAGCATGCTGTCGTGATGGGTGTCTCCACCGTGCCGTCCGGTCAGGCCACCTTCAGCCACATGTGGCCAGGCAGCCCTGGGCTGTGGCTCATGGGCTTACATGACCCCGAAATTGTTTCACTGCAAGTAATTAGCACAAAAGGCCCGGCCTGGCGCACGGTCGGCCCTGACTGAGCTGCTGCGCTGGAGGCCACATGCCAGCCATAGTCCGGATCCCCGGGTTGGCCTGAAAATGTGCCGGGTGCATGTGTGCATGTGTGCCCGAGACCCTGACACGCTGGAGAAAGGACCCTCTCCCTGCCTCACTCCACCTATGTGTGCATGCCCTATTGTGAAGAAAAAGGTTTAAAATACGTATTTATTTATTTACTTCCATTTGTTATTATTATTTTTAATTTGACCAGAGAGAGAGAGAGAAAGGGAAAGCAAGAAAGCAAGCCGCCAGGTCTGGGTCTAGAACCGTGTTCTGCCATGTGGGAATGCAGCGCCTCCAACCACCACGCCACCTGCTGACCCTGAATAAAATTTTAAAACATTTTTCAGATAGATTTTTGCTATAGGGTGCATGTGCTTACCAGAGAGACAGAAAGTGAGAAACCACCCCCTGGGGGGATGGCCTTGCTACAATACCTTCTCCTCCAGTCACCTCTCGGGATTTGGGGCGTGCACGCTCACATGTGCCCAGCATGAGTTTTATTTATTTATTTATTTTCATTCAGCTTGTACAACAACTCTTGTTTGCAAAATAACTTACATTTATTGAATAAAAAGCACTGTTTATGATTTTTAAGTAAAAGAAGAAGAAAAAAAAAAAAAAACAAAAAAAGAAGCGCAAGAAAGTTTTTATGTGACCCCAGAGGTACCCTGTCCTTACATGTAGGAGAACAAAATGGTTTTCAAAGTTAAAGCCATCACGTTTCTAGAAATACAAAACCCTTTAAGAAAAACCCTTTAAGAAAAAAAATACGGGGCTGGCAGGTAGCATGGAGGTTAGAGGTGCTGGACTCCCATATGGTCGACTGTGGTTTGAGTCCCAGACCTGGCGGCTTGCTTTCTCACTTTCCCTTTCTCTCTCTCTGCCTCTCTCTGATCAAATTAAAAATTATAATAACAAATGGAATTAAATAATTTTTTAATGGAAAAATACATTTTTTCATTTTCTATTCATGGCAAAAATTTTAATTCTTTCCAGTGAAACCCAAACCTCCTGAGCCCCATTCAGCATCATCCAAACCCTTCGAACTTTTCTTCGCCAAAATTACGCAGCAGGACACAGTCCCCCGAGCACCCTCCTGTACCACACCAGCTCTCACACCTGCGGAGTGCTCTGCAGCCAGACTGGAATGCGGAGCTGCTTCTGTGACACCCAGGAGGAAGGGCTGTCTGCATGCCTGTCTCCACAGGGGCTTTCTCCTGGGCGGTACTGTGTAGTCCAGGCATGGTACAGGACCCCGGGGTCGGGGCTGTGGTGAGCTCCAGCAGCCAGGCAGAGCAGCACAGCCTTGAGCTGCCCTCCTTCGCAGACTGGCCCTCCTGCGGGGGGAGATGGCAGGGGTCTCTTCAGAGCAGGACATGACAGAGCAAGAAAGTGAGCGGAGGAGAGAGCAGAGGTAGCGAAAGCCCCAGCGTTGAGTTTTAAGCCATCAGGTCCAGGACTTGAACGGTGCGACCATGAGAGAATCCAGTGACATAATCGTTATGCCATCTGCTGGTCCCTAGAAATTAAAAAAAAAAAAAATTTAAGAATTTCATTTAACTTTATTTATTTATTTATTTATTATTTTAATATTCCCAGAGAGAGAGAGTGAGAAAATGAGAAAGCAAGCCTCCAGGTCCAGGACTCGAAACACAGTTGGCCATGTGGGAGTCCTGCGCCCTTAACCACCATGCCACCTGCTGGCTCCTAAAAATAAATTTTTAAAAATTTAAATAGCCAGCTGGTGGCCTGGAAGTTAAAGCAGCTGGGTCCCACGTGGTCGACTGTGTGGTTCGAGTCCCAGACCCGGTGGCTTGAAAATCATACCGGGCACATGTGCATATGTGCCCAAAGTCCCGAGAGGAGAATGGTTGAGAGGGGATTGTGTGGTGGCCATCCCCCAGGGAAGGTGATTTCTCACTGTCTCTTTCTCTGTCTCTATCTGGTGAGCACACATGCCCTACGGCAAAAAAAAAAAAAAAAAAAAGACAGAAAGAAAGAACATTTTAATTAAATAAGAATGCGAAGGGCCACGTGTTGGCCAGCACAGCCATAGAGGCTGCAGGAAGGGGCAGATGAAGAGCTGCCTCATCTCAGGCCGGGTGCCCCGCCCTGTGGAATGCCCAGTTTGCAGGAAGCGAGCTGCAGGGCGGCAGGCGGGGGCTGCTTCCTGGAGGGGAGCTGGGCCAGGCAGAGGACCTCCCGCTGCTCTGCTCGCTGCTCTGCTCCGCTTTCTCCTCTTTCGATTTTCAATTTTCCTATTACTGTGTGTTCTTCACAAGAATGGAAAACTTCTCAAAAAGAAAAAGGAAAGAAAGTACCCCCCACACCCGGGTACACAGCCGTTTCCAAAGCTGCCCACCCCAGGGCCAGTTTCAGAAACTCCAGGGCCCACAATCTCCTGAGCAGCCAGTCTGAGCCGAAATTATCTCCCGGCCACGTCCCACCCAGCCCAGACCAGAGGCGACCCCGCCTGACCAGCCAGAGCCCCTCGGGTCCCCAGAGCCCCGCTCGCCCTCACTCAGTCTGTGCCCCGACTTTCTGCCTTGCACCACCCTGAGCTCGGGTACCTGGGGCCTTTCTTGCAGGTCTCTCTGGAGGTCCCTGAGGGACAGTGACAGTCGCAGGCCACTCCACGTCCCCAGCCTGCCCACGGGCTCGGATCAAAGGCCGCCTGAAGTGTAGCCTCTCCTGACCACCCGGGTAAAGTCCTCTGTCAGCCTCAGGCCTTGTTTGTTTCCTGTGTAATTACCTTATTTGCCCACTCCCTCCTGGCTGCCGCCTGCCTCGGGAGGTGAACTCTGAGGCCCTGGCTAGTCAGAGCCAATTGCACTCGCCCATCGATGGCAGGGCCAGTGCAGGGCTGTCCGTGGGATAGACGCACACTGAATGAATTTCCCGAATTCAAAATTAACATTCCAGGCTGGCGAGCTGACCCCCAAAGAGGCTTCAACACCTTTTAGGATCTGGAATAGTGTTCTTGAAATTCGTAAGTCCGGACCAGCAGCGGCATGGTGGTTGGGGTGGTTGTGGTGAGCACACATGCCCTATAGCAAATTTTAAAATAGTAATAATAATAATATAAATTTTTTGAGAGTTTTATGTCAAAATTAACATTCCAGGCTGGCGAGCTGACCCCCAAAGAGGCTTCAACACCTTTTAGGATCTGGAATAGTGTTCTTGAAATTCGTAAGTCCGGACCAGCAGCGGCATGGTGGTTGGGGTGGTTGTGGTGAGCACACATGCCCTATAGCAAATTTTAAAATAGTAATAATAATAATATAAATTTTTTGAGAGTTTTATGTTTGCTATAGGGCGTGTGCGCTCATCAGAAAGACAGAGAGAGACAGAGAGACAGAAAGCAAGACATCATCCCCCAGGGTCGGGGGGGATGGCCACGCTGCAATCCCTTCTCCTCCATTCTCTTGGGATCTTGGGCATGCACACACACGCGCCCAATGTGAGTTTAAGCCACCGGGTCCGGGACTCGAACCGCGGTTGACTACATGGGAGTCCAGCGACATAGCCATTACGCCAACTGCTGGTTCCAATATAAAATTTTTTTAAAAAGAAATACCTATGGGCCAGCAAGTGGTGTGGTGGTTAAGGATGCTGGACTCCCACATGGCCAACCGCAGTTCGAATCCCAGACCTGGCGGCTTGCTTTCTCACTTTCTCTTTCTTTCTCTCTCTCTCACTCTGCCCCTCTCTGGTCAAATTTAAATAAATAATTTTTTTTTATAAAAGGAAGAAATACACATGTCCCCTCCAGAGAGGCCCACACTGATGTGCCTGAGTGTCCACAGAAAAACCACCAGCTCCCCCCCACCCTGCCCTGGGCTGGCCCTGCCCTGGATGGAGACCTGGTCTTGGCTCAGTGTTGCTGCCCTCCAGGGACCTTCAGCTAGTGGTGTCCAGTTGTAAACCAGGACTCCCTGCTCGGTGTCAGAGACAGCACGGGAGCCAGCACCGGCATCTGAGGAGCTCCAGCACAGCCCAACTAGGTCACCCTGGGAGGTGGCACACCCGCAACGCCAGCGTATGGAGATCCCTGAGTGATCTGAGAAGCGGTTCACACACCCCGGCTGGCAAAAGCTAGACAGCTGGCAAAGCCAGGTGCTGGTGGGAAGGGACTGCTGGGTGTGGGTGGGGAGCATTTGGCTAGCTACAGGCACTGGGATCTGCCCTCCGCACTAGCAGTTTCACCCACACAACTTCCTTCCCCCAGTAACCCTCAGTGGCAGGAAAGGGCCATCACCAGGCACCACCACCGGAGGTGGAACCGCAGAGAGCCAGTGCTGCGTGGGCGGGGAGCCCCGTGGCCCAGTGGGTGAGGGCGCTGATGTCACAGGCAGACTGAGAGGCTGGCACCCTGTGCCTGTGTTCCCAGAATCCCAGCAGGTGCAGCGAGGAGGGGAGGGACTGCAGCACGCCCACACCCTGGGGCCGGCTCCTCTCCCTCTGGCTCTCTCTGGCAAGCACACACACCCTTTGGCAAAGGAGAAAAGAAAAAAATGGGATGAGACTAAAGCATAAAGCCACTTGCATGAAATGGTGACAGAAAACGCGCTTGTCTAAGACACACGTAAGCACCAGCCTGACTGGAAAGTGGGGTGATGAGGACAGGAGCTGAGGTGGGACCAGCAGATGGCCTGATGGCCATGTTGCTGGAATCCATCCCGGATGACTGCAGTTCGAGTCCCGGAACTCACACAGGGGTGGAAGGCAGGTGGTTAAGGGCCCTGGACTCCCACATGGCCAACCGTGGTTCTGCTTCCTCACTTTCTGTCTCTCTCTCCCTCACTCTGTCCCTCTCTGGTCAAATTTAAACAAATAATTAAGTAAAATAATTCTTCCTTTATTTAAAAAAGAAAATCACATTGGGCACATGGGTATGCGTGCCCAAAGCCCCGAGATGACTGATGAGAAGGGATTGCGGCGAGGCCAGCCCCCCTGAGGGGTCACCTCTTGCTTTCTGTCTCTGCCTCTGTCTCTCCAGTGAGGGCACACACCCTATAGCAAAAATCTCAAAAAAAAAAAAAAAAAAAAAGGGAAAAACAAAATAAAGAACTGGGACTGAGGAAGGAAGGGGCAGAGTAATGAGCCCTCAGTGTCTGCAGGGTGGCCATGCACTCTCTCCACCCTCCGGCCTGGGGCTGCACCTCTGCACGCTTATTCCCCCAGCTGGGACTGGGAGGGGAGGGGATGGCCAGCTGCTGGGTAAGAAGACTAGTTAACGGAGGCGGAGGAGGGGGCGGGCCACAACTTGGAGGCAGAAGGAGCCCAGAGTCCGGGAAGGGCAGGGTCAGCGTGGGGGGGGGGGGCCGGGGGGGGGGCAGAGGGGGCAGGACAGGTGACGGGGAAAATGTCAATCAGACCCAGGCAGCTCCAGCCTGAAAAACGTGGCAGGGAGCCAGCACCCCTCGGTCCCACTCAGCCGGCTAGATCCCCGCCCCACTGACCCCGGCCTCTCCTACCACCTTTCTCCTGACCTCTCCGCCCCAGCCCCAGGAGGGAGCTAGCTCCTGACGCCAGCGAGCTGGGAGGGACAGTGGGGTGTTGGTGCCACCTCCTGGCAGCCACAGGAAGTGCAGCATCGCGCTTGGCCAGGTACAGAGTGAAGGATGGCCTTCCATGCTGGTGGTCATCCTTTATGCAGCCAGGGGTGCTGAAGTCTTCTTTCTTTCTTTAGAATTTTTTAAAATTTTATTTTACTTATTGTTATTATTTTTTTTAATTTGACCAGAGAGAGACAGAGAGAAAAAGGGAAAGTGAGAAAGCAAGCCTCCAAGTCCAGGACTTGAACCACTGTTGGTCATGTGGGAGCTCAGTGCCTTAACCACTGTGCCACCTGCCGACCCCAGCGGTGCTTGTATTATTCAGAATGGTGCTAACAAGCCACACTCTCCCCCAGCCAGCCAGTGGCATGGAGGTGTAGACAACTGGGTCCCACATGGTCAGCTCTGCAGTTTGAGTCCCAGATCTGGTGGCTTGAAAAACAACGTACGAGTACCTTCCTCTTCACGCCCCCACCTTGCCCTTTGCCCTTACCCTTTCTCCCCTGGGCGCCTCTGTGCATGTGTGCCCAGAATCCAGAGAGAGTTAAGAGTGAAGGAGAAGGGATTGCGGCATGGCCATCCCCCCCAGGGTTTCTCACTTTCTCTATCTCTCTCTCTGGTGAGCACACGTACCTATAGCAAAAATAAAAAAATTTTTAAAAAGCCACAACTCTCCACTGGAGGGACTTGCTGATGGGCAGACCTGTCATTGCTCTGCTCAGACTGAACTGAGTGGGAACCGGTCCCAGCTCCCGGCAGTGCAGGCCCGGGCGCAGGTGCAGGCGCAGGCCGCAAGGCCTGCTGGTCCCCACCCCCGCACCCAGTGCAGTGTGGCACCTCAACCCTCTGGGCTGTGCTCCTCCCTCGCACACTCACTGCGTTTCTGCTGGTCTTCCAAACTCCCCACCCCTCAGGAAAGCCCGGCACAGGTGGTGGGAGCAGGTGTGCCCAGGCCTCAAGGGGATGGAGGAGGCCAGGAGGGCCATGGAGCTGGCAGGGCTATGGCGAAGACTCCATGGGCCCTGAGCTGGCCAGCTCCCTGGGGAGTAGTGGGCGAAAGCGGGTGGGGCTGGGACCCATGGCCCCAACTTTGTGCTGCCAGGTTCTAAGCTCTGTCCCTGACTCCAGCCTTCTGGGGGGGAAGGGTCTACAGGCTGCCAGCCTAAGGTCTCTGCCTGACTCCCCGAGGGACCCTTGCTACCGGCGTGCTCCCATGGCTTGGCTGCCTGCAGCACCCTGACTGCCACCCGCTGTGGGACCTCCCAGTGCAGCCTCCTGGTTCAGAGGAGGAAGCCTGGGCTCAAAGTTGGAAAGTGGGGGACCGGCAGGTGGCATGGTGGTTAAGGGTGCTGGACTCCCACGTAGCCAACCACAGTTTGAGTCCTGGACCTGGCAGCTTGCTTTAATCTTTTTTATTTTTCCTCTCTCAATCCCTCTCTGGTCAAATTAAAAATAAATAAGTGAATAAATAAAGTTAAATAAAACTTTTTTTTTTTTTGGAGAGGTTTTTGCTATGGGGCACATGCCATCCCCAGAGAGAAATCATCCCCCCAGGGGGGATGGCCACAAGGCAATCTCTTCTCCATTCTCTTCTTGGGATCTTGGGCACACACGCACAGAAGCCCAGCATGAGTTTAAGTCACTGGGTCTGGGACGGGAACCGCGGTCGACTACATGGGAGTTCAGCGATATAGCCATTACACTAACTGTTGGTCCCAGTAAAACAACTATGTAAAAAAAAAAATTTAAGTTGGGAAGTGGGCTGTGAGGGGAAGACCTGGGATTTGAACCCAGGTCTGCATGCCCTTCCCCCCACAATGCCCAATGACTGGGTGACTGGGTGATGGGCGATGGTTGGGAGTCACTTTACCTTTCTCCCCTCTGTACCCTTTGCAGGAGGCTGTCACTGCTCTGCCCCAATGTGGAGCCGTGGCTCCCAGACAGGAAATGGGGCAGGTCTCAGGAAGCTGCACCGCTGCCTGGGGCACTCGCCAGGCTGAGCCACGGGAGGACGGGAGGACGCAGGAACCCAGGAGCAGCTGCAGGGAGGCCCACGCTCAGTCACCGCACAGCGGGGCCCGGGCACGGTGGCAGCCCAAACGCCACACTGAGGAGCCACCGAAGGTTCCAGGCTCCTCTCCCTCTGAAGGTGCAGCCAGCGC